AGATTTATAGGTTCGTCTCATGTTTTTACCAAGATGCCTCCTCAGTGTCGAGTGCCACAAGATACAGCAATAAATTGTCTCGTAAAGTTTGGAGAAAAATTCAGTGGTGACTACCCACCTGTCCATAGTGATCCTGTTTGGGATCAATTATCCGAAGAGACAAAAGGCTTGTGGTCTGCGTCATGTTGGCGCGTCAATGTTAAGGAAGACAGGAGAAAGATCGTCACAGCTGCGAGGGAAAAATTACAGCTTCAACAGTTAAATTTTCTTCAGGATGAGATTCTTCCTGAAGAAAATGATGAAGAAGAAGATGATGACTTGGAACCTGAAGCAAGTGAGTCAGAAGAATATGATGAGGAAGTAGATTTTGATTTGGTGCTGAGTCCAGAAGAATGGCAAGAGATCAAACCACTGGAGAACGACAATCACCGAACTAGTCACACCTTGAGACCCAAAGTTTGGACAAACGTAGTGAGCCTTGCATTCTGGAGGCAGTGGAGACTTCCTTGTGCATTCGTTTTCAAAAGAGGTGAAGTGAACGTGTCTGAAAATCGTTTACATTTCATAAAAATCAAAGGAGTTTGTCGGAGCAAGAAATGCAACAATCGTATCCGGGGCTATGTTGATAAGGAGCCTTCATCTTCAATAGAGGAGCTGGTAATTCGGATAAAGACTCGTGATACTTCTGCAGAGACACATGAGAATGTAAAACGTCCACTCAACGGAAACAGGAGGAAACAGCTTGGGAAAGCTGCTGTAGCTGAAGGCAGTGCCAACAATGTAAAGAAACGACTAGCAAGAGAACATCTGAGAAGAGGAGATACNTGAACGTGTCTGAAAATCGTTTACATTTCATAAAAATCAAAGGAGTTTGTCGGAGCAAGAAATGCAACAATCGTATCCGGGGCTATGTTGATAAGGAGCCTTCATCTTCAATAGAGGAGCTGGTAATTCGGATAAAGACTCGTGATACTTCTGCAGAGACACATGAGAATGTAAAACGTCCACTCAACGGAAACAGGAGGAAACAGCTTGGGAAAGCTGCTGTAGCTGAAGGCAGTGCCAACAATGTAAAGAAACGACTAGCAAGAGAACATCTGAGAAGAGGAGATACAGGTGGACCAAATGAACCGTCCCTCGACGTGTTGCGCCATGCTAAGAAAGAAGCCATTGCCGAAGAACTTGGTACAAATAGAGTTAAAAATGAAGACATGATTCAGACTATTGAAAGAATGAAATATGAAAAAGAATTCATGGGATCAATCATTGATACTGGTTACTCTCTGTATTTCACATTTTATGGTACAGCTGAGCAGAAGAGTGCTTACAAGCAATACCGCTATATGCACAACAAAACGTCGAAGATCTCTATTGACTCCACCGGCAGTTTGGTGAGAAAATTAAAACGTCCTTTGAAGCTGGAATCTGCTCATATCTTTCTGTACACGATAATGATCCACTTTAATAAATCCAGCATCTCTGTTTTCCAAATGCTATCAGAGTCTCAAGAAAGTGAGAAAATCGAATTTTGGCTGAGGACTTGGCTTCGTACAGTAGATTATCAAAAGCCAAACGAGGTGGTCATTGATGGCTACGAAGCGTTGAGGATAGCTTGTTGTAGAGCTCTAAATGATTTGCATATCAAGCATTACATAGCAATATGCTTTGAGGCGATATCAAAGGATCAACACGTGCTCAGAAGCTTGGTATCAACGTTCATTCGTCTTGACACGTCCCATTTTATTCAAGTTTGGTGTCGATTAAAGTGCTTGAATAATCATCCTGTTCGCCAGGTTCGAGATTTTTACATTCGGCTCATCGCAATCATGATGGATTGCCAGAATTTTCAAGATTTTATCGAAGTTTTTATGTTCACATGTGTCGTGTCATTTCAAGAATTTGATGACTCCATTCTTAGTTTGAAATCAACACAACAACGAGTCCAGTGCACTGAAGAAACCCGACTGAAATTGCAAGAAATGATTAGAAAACGCCCCTTGGATGTCGACGAATTCCTGAAAATTCTTGAGCCCCCAGATAATGAGCTAATACCTCCAGATGTTGATCTGGGTGAAGAAGCCCCCGATCTTGGCATGTTTCTCAAAAATTTGAAAGATGAAGCACTAAAAACCCGCTCTAAAGGTTCTATTCCAAATTTCTATCGTCTACCAGCATTTGGCAATAGACTGGTGGAATATGCGAGAATATTCCCCCTTTGGACTTCAGTTTGTCTTCCATATTATGCTGAACATGCTACAAGCAGCTACAATGAACGTGGGTTTCGCGAAATCAAACGGGATGTGTAAGAAATATACATTGCCTCAGGATGTCGATAACTTTCTTCGCATTCATCTTCGTCATTTGATTGGAGGAAGTAGGGACTTCTCTGGAGAACTTCTCGACTTTAGAGCTCAGGGTAAAAAAATCACTGAACCCAAGATGAAAGAAACCAGTGAAAAAGCCACTGGACACTGTGCACATGAAGCAAATCACAGTGATTCAATTTCACGAGCTGAAGAGAATTGGCGGAATAAAGGGACAAGCTACACTCGATTTAAATGCCGAGATCTGAAGACAACAGAGTACTCTGTTGAAGAACCCGAGTCATCAACAGAAGAATGTGGGGATGGATCCAATGAGTCCCACTCTGGTTCACGTGTCGACATCGAAAGTATCAACACATCCACCTCCTCTAATCTGCCAATGTCCCCTCCTGCATGCTCGAACTCACTGTTTAATTCTTCAAACCCAGAAAACTCCACTACTCTATCAACTCCCCCCGGGAATTCAAGTAATCAATCTCCAGATCAGGCCATGATGCGACAGACACCTGTTGAGAAACCTTCTCGGTCAAGGAAAAACCAGAATGAGACACACGTGACAGCGCCACATGGCGTTACCGAGGCTGACGAGACCTCCAATGCACTTCATGAGTCTATCAATAATGATGGTGGGTTCTATGTACCTGAAACACCGTCTCCTGTTCTAAGCGGATCTAATGATCGAGGACGTGAAGAAAATCCGACGTATTCGCGAGCCAAAAAACCTTCGATTGCAAAATTCTTCATGTCATGTCCAGAAGCTGTTGTGGATCTCACGGCAAATAAGGAGAAGAATTCGCACGAAATACCTTCGAAAGGTAGAACCAAGCGCCGGAATTACTTATTGAGGAATGCGGTGCACTGTGGCACTTACAAGATCGATGGTAAGGTGTACTTCATGAGGAGAACCTGTGCTTTCGATTCCCTCGCATCTATTCTGCTGACAGCAGCTCTGGATGACTGCCATTATCGAAGTTTCATGGAGGGTGTCTACAATGAAACTTTTTCATTCATATTGAAATTACGAGAAACAGGAGTCACAGCAGATTTATACAAAGAACGCTTCCTCTTACTTAAACCATTTTATGAGAGTACGGAATCAGTGACTAGTGCAGAAAACCTGGCTTTCGTAACGTCTTATGTGGCCACTGACAATCCCACCGATTTGTGGACAAAATTGTTCGTGTCTTATCCCAGTACCTTCCACACTTCTGTGTGCAAACTAAACATTTGTTCAGGTGATAGCGAACACAATTATTCGATCCAGATTGATCATTCAATCATCCGTCGTCAAGGATACAAGGCCCTTCAGGCAGCTCTAGAGTTTCAGACTGTCATCTGCGACAAAAAATGTAGATGTGGATACTCTACTTACACTGAAACAGCACAGGGTAACAATCATATTTATGTAGAACTTGGGACAAGGATTGACTACAATTCATCTCCGATAAGCGTCCGCTTGAATACTATTCCAGCACAGCTGACTTTGGACACCACGTACAGGTGAGGTGTATACATTCGCTTTGTATACATTTTTTTAAGTTTATATTATTGGAAGCACGCGTACAATGTGAATTTTCTAGATTTTCATCTCTATGTGCAGTAGTGCATTGAAAAAATACCCCATGTTTGCTCAATTCCTGCCTGAATTTCCAGTTAATAACTGCGAATCTAATGAAGATGGTGAAATTTGCAGGGAAACTTTATTTGTAACTATAATGTTTTTCTACAAAAGAGCTCTCTACGCAAATTCTGCTATTTTCATCACAATCTGAGACATTCTCGAGAAATAGATTATGCTAACGCGCACGTACTATTTTTAGTCACAGACGATTTGAAAATTTTTTTCTCTAAATTTTCTCTTACATAAATCATTTTAATTCCAGTGGTGAAAGAAAAAAACTATGTGACTATATTCTTTTCCGAAATTACCTTTATTTTTACATTAATTATATTTCTACAGTAATCTGCAAGTGGTAGTAATAATATTACGGACTTTTGAAAAAATGTAACCATTCTACCACTTTAGCTCATTTTATCACTTCACTCCTAATTTTTCTTCATTACGTTTCCAGACTCGTTGGTGTTATCGTGAGCATGAAGACCATTTCACTGCTTTTTGTCGTCGAGCCTCAGGACACTGGCAAGAATACGACGATATAAAATCCTCTGTACGTGCATGTAAACCTGAAGAACAAGTCCGACCCATCAGTGCAATTTATATTAAGATTATTTCTGTGAACAGAAAATGATGTACGAGAGCTCAGGATGAGTGAAACTTCACAGGGAAAAGGTCTCATCATTATTATTTAATCGAACAATTCATCGGAAATAGCTGATCTGTGATCTTATGAGCACTCCAAACACCCCCCTCCAAAGATGCTTTGATTGTCATTAGCCCTCGAGACAACGCGATTGCTTCAGGACATCGACTACTTCCAATTCCACTCCTCAAGTTCTCCAACCTGGGAGGAAATAGCAAAGGACTTGGGTCAACGCTGGAACCACAACTGCTACACGAGCATCAGAAAAAGATCGTGAAAATAGCTTGGGAGAACCAGGGGATTTTCCTTCCGAAGGAGGGACACGAGGCCAAGACACTGAAGATGCAAGCGAAGTTCGAAAATCTTTAAAAAATCAAGCGTTTTCCTTGGTGCAAATACCATGAGTAGATTACATGGTATTTTACAACAGCAATATCATTTGTGGTATATTTTGAAGTATTTCTTTTTGTTTTCTTTTTTTGTTCATAAAACAATACTCTATATTGAATGGAATTACTAATTGTTGATCAGTCGTGAACTCCAATGCTAAAATATTGAAGATAAGGACAGGAAACACAAGATTTTTTTTCAAGTAATATTGTTGTCAATCACGTCAGAATTTCAAATTTATTGGCGTTCATTTTCAGTCCTTGCAAATATCAATTTTTAATCAAAGTTTGTTCATTCACCTTTCCTTTCAAAGTAAATCAAATTACCTTGGGGTAGAGCATTGTAATGCTGGAAATTACATTAGAATATGTCTGGAGTGAAAATGCCACGAGAATATGTTGTCATTACAATTTATTATTCATGTGAGTTAATTTCTACCACTTTCCAATGACAAGTTTTTTGTAAACTAAAATTGGATTTTTACACGAATTTTACGCGATTATGATTTTTAATGTCCTCAGCTGGATACAAGCACTTGGTAAGGAGGCTCCAATATCTGAAAAAGTATTAATTTTTGGTCTCATCCTGAATAATTTCATGAAAAGGGTAATTTGAGTAATTAATTATTATGTTTATTAGTACCTATTATAAATATAGTGCAGTGTTCTGATAGAGAAAGGTCTCTTTAAGGAAGCCACGAAAAATAGCAGGCTCATAGATCATAGTGCTTTTACCATAATCTGCGCTAATTTCCAAGGTGTTGCACCAATCAGCGAAGGATACGAGATGTTATTTCGTTGACCTAGAGAACAAAAAATAGGAAAATGAAATTTTCAATACGCGAATGTTGAATCACAGAATTATGAAGTAAACTGAATAATTGGTTATTTGTGGGACAAATAACAATAGACGTGTTGAATAGAAATGTCAATAGACGTTTCTTTGTCGAAAAGGACCTCTATGAAAGGATTTTTGACATTCTCTTTTAAAACTATTCATGATACTCTCACTTCTACTGAACCTGGCCAGGTTTTTCCTTGTCCTTCAAATGTCAAGACACATTTTTTATATGAAATTTTTCCAACTATGATTGTATAGAATTGTTATTTGAAATGTCAGTGAAGCTATGATTGTAAAGAATTGTTATTTAAAATGTCAGTAAATTCGTTCTGCAATTATGTACGTTGGATCCGTCGGGCCATGTGATGCTGTTGAGTAGGAATGTTTTGTAGACGAATGGAAGCATGAGAAAGCGAGTTTAATCGTCGTTACTTCGTCAAGTTTGAATTTTATTAGTTTAGCCATGAATACTGCTAAAGTGCCAAACACTGTTAAGCATCTAATGACACGAAAATTGATTTTAGTATTAATTCATTATCTCGTCGCATTAATTCAACTCTTTTGTTTCATATTTACGTACTGAAAGTGAAATACTGAGCTCATTTCCATAATTCTATTGCTGATTTTTCTGCAAGCAATGAAAGTATCTTATTAGTTACGATTTGATACTCAGTAAATATCAAAACGACATGAGTTGATATGACTTAATTTTTTGTTGAATATTCTCAGAATGTGAGAGATACTAAAATGGTTGATATCTTTTTTGTAGGCATGAAATGTGAAACAATGATCTCAGTATATTTTTTAGAATTTATCAAAAAGGAAATAAAGGTTTGATTCTTAGATACATCTCACTCATTTTCTGTAATTAATTCTTAATTCAGATGAATCTCTTCTCGAATTTTAGAAATGAACGACTATAAAATTCAACGGGGTAACTTTTCGAATTCAGTTTATTGCTAATTTTCAGACTCCTTTCTAATTTTTTTAAATGTATCACCTAATTTCAATGATGGAAATCTTTGATACTTTCTCTTTTCACTTGCCTGACTTTTCATTTTTCATTCGACTATCATTTTCGACAAGTAAAAATTTATAGATTTCAATAAGGAGCTCATCTTGATAGATCTACATCTGATCTGCCCTGATGAAAAAAGTTGTTTGACCAATGTTTCTCGACTTCTATTAGTAAACTGAAGACTCAACAATTTTTGAGAGTAGAATATCTACGCTGACAAAGTAAAGAACTTTCGATATGAAATTCTTTACTTCTTTCATGAGAAGAAATCTATTCTAGTTGAATCAATTAGGTCAACAATTTCTTCGTATCAAATTCAAAATATTTGACTACAAAGATGTAACAACAAAAATTATTGACGAAAGTTTCTTTCCTCTCAACACCAGGCCCTTAGTTCAGAAACTTTTTAGCCATGAGTTTCGAACATGATCAAAGATGTACTTGTCAAAGGAATAAAAAAATTTTTTCACAGACTACAATTCAGATCTTCACAACTTTCATTGTCTCCATTAAATCCTAAGTTATTTTCTAAAAACTAAAAGATCTGAGAATGAAATTGATTCATCCTGTTTTATCTATTAATTAAAAAATAGAGAAAAAAAATTACCAGTGGGTGACGGACGAATTTTAACATTAAAAATGTGTGCCCCACAGATGCAAACAAGTACATCAGTCAACAGAACAAAACACTGCAACAGCGGTTTCGTTCCGCGATTCCATAATTACATTCTCATGACATAGGGTTTCGTGCAAAGAGTCAACAACAGACTGTGCATCAACCGCAAAGGACTGATTGGACATCTTAATGGCCATTTGAGTTCCTCAGGGTAGTAAACGACGATAGGGTCAAGGGCCAACCCCTTCACATAGAAAATGGAAGTCCTTGATTAGTGGTAGCTCAGTCTCGTGTTGTCCTCCTCGTTCTTCTCACCTTGTATTTTGACACTAAATGCTTATGAGATGTTGACTCATTCGAAGACCCTGTCTTGTAGTCCAGGGGTCCTTCTACGGGGGCTGAGGATTGAATGAATGAATTGTCGACGCCATAACTTCGCGAGTTAGGCCTTTCTGAGTGTATACACTATTAATCTCTCTATTATATCCGTATGTACAAAAATTTTGAGTCCTTAGTTTTGAATGGGAATGGTCCCAGTGAGTGATGTGTTGTCCTTACTTCCATGACCACAATTTTCCTAAGAGGTGAAGCTTGGAAAACATCCCTGAAATTAGGATTAAAAAGGATTATAGTTTGACTCTGAATACAGGTTGATGTGTGTCCAGCAGTGCAGGTCACCATTCAAGAGAATAAATTATCTGAGGCTGTGACTGCTCTAGATTCTGGATGAGGAACGAAGACGTTGATGATTTAGTTGGTGATGTTCGTAAAGATTTTTCTGTTTGAGTATCCTCTTTGCATGAGTAGAATGAGATGCAAATCAGTTATTGTAAATAGTACTATCAGTGGGCCTATGAAGAGAAGATCGCTGTATTTGTACAATCAATTTTTGTATTCTCAAATACTTCACAAACTAATCTCCGAGGAGAAGTGATTGACCATCCCTAACCTCGTCGTTCCATAACCTTACTGATGAAATGCTTTGATGATAATTGAACCTCACCTTTCTTCACTGTTATCCTAATTCCCAATCAATTTTTATGAGTATTGGTCGGATCACTTGATTTTAGAAAATGTTATCGCATGTCAATTGAGCTGGTTTACTCCAAAATGCATTCATTGGAGGTTATGGCTGATATATTTAATTTATTGAGAACACTTTGTACACTTTAACATCACTGTTATATTTAACCAAAAGATTTATAACCAACCAATATGAAAAACCATTACATTCTTTGCTTCATGATTAATTAATAATGAAATGTTGAAAAAAGGACGGTAGTGGTAGGTGGTATGGGTGGTATCCCCCGCCATCTTAGATAACACCTGTGGTCCGCCGGTGTCAGTTGACGAATCGGACTCAATTGTCGTAATTACAATAAATAACGAGAAAATTGTCAAGAACAAACTATAAAATTGACAAACAATTAAAATACAAACGATTCTAGGTCTGAACAATCCCAAAAAAACAGGGAAACATAATTTTTAATGTGTGTCGGCCAAGTACATGGGCCATTTTTTCATTATTTTTTAATAAATAATTGGAAGAGGAACAAACGGTTCTGATCTTAGAACAATCATGTACAGACGTAGTACAAACGACCTGAATTTTTTTTTTTTTCATAATCAATCATCTGTCGGCTAAGGTCATATCAATCTGCTAATCCCCCCTATGATCTCTGGTGGTGGGTAGTGTTTCCCGATACCCAAAAAAATATCAATACTCAGCATCGTATCGACGCAGATTGCTTGGTGTCGATACCGCAAAGTATCGCCTTGGGAAATATCGATACTCGTAATATCGCTGTTTTTAAAAATTCTGCATGACACTGGCAAATAAAAAAATATAAAAATTGAAGAATGTCGCGTTAAAAGACCTTAAACATTCAGATTCATTCACGTGAGGATATCCCAGTATTGTTTATAATTTGGTACAGACCATTCTATAGATTCCGCCACTTGCAATCATCAAATTTGCCAATTAAATTGCGCGAGGAAAAATTGAGATACGTTATGAATATTCAGTGTCATTCACATTACATTTTGCACAGAATTATTATTTTGTTCATTCGAGGGTGAACCGTCACGAGAGTCACTAGGGAATGATCAAATTTCACGAAGGTCAAACTCTACGAAAGCCACACGGGAACGATCAAATTTCACGGAAATGAAGCGTCACGAGGGTCAAAAGGAGATGGTCAAATTTCACAGTAGTGAAACATCATGAGGGCCATAGGGACACGATTAAATTTCACGAGTCAACCGACACGAGGGTAACATAGGGATGGTCAAATTTTACGACGGTCATAAGGGGATGGTCAAATTTCACGAAAGTTAAACGTCACGAGTCAAAAGGAGATGGTCAAATTTCACGAGAATCAAACAGCCCGAGAGTCACAAGGGGATGGTCATACTTCACAAGAGTCAAACGTCATGAGGATCAGAAGAGTATGGTCGAATTTCACAAGTGTCAAACGTCACGAGGGTCTCACGGGGATGGAATAATGAAAGGAATAATGACATTTTATGACGTTTGAATGTTCCACTGGTCATTTTCTACGAGGGTCCAACGTCAAATTTCGCAAGGAGCAAAGGATTACAAGAGTCACAAGGAACTACGATGCTTTAATGATCTTTGAGAATCACATGGAACAATCTCAAACTCTTTGTAGGAAGAATAATGGTGTTCATTATTCAAGTTTATTGAATTTTTCACGGAATCATTTCGGGCCCTGAAAATTTCAAAAATTGGTGATCCGCCTGTGACTTTCGTACTGTCTGACTCGTAAAATTTGAAGGTCCCCTATTGTAATCCTCCCACGTTTGACCTTTGTGAAAATTGACCGTCTCCTTGTGTCGGTTAACTGCCGTGACATTTCACTGTCCCCTTGTGACCCTCGCGAAAATTTGAGTCTCGTAGAATTTGACCATCCCCTTATGACCCTTGTGAAATTTGACCCTCGTGCTGTTTGACCCTCGGGAAATTTGATCGTCCCCTTATCTCGCTCGTCACGTTTGACCCTTGTGAAACTTGGTCATCCCCTTGTGACTCTTATGACTTTTGATCCTTGTGAAACTTCAACACACATTAAGACGATCGTCTTAATGTGACTCTTGTGACTCTTATGACTTTTGATCCTTGTGAAACTTCAACACAAGAGTCACATTAAGACGATCGTCTTAATGTGACTGTTGTGACTTTTGACCCTCGTGAAATTTGATCATCCCCTTGTGACCCTCGTGACGTTCGACCCTTGTGATATTTGACCCTCTTGAAATTTGACCATTCCCTTGTGATCCTTTTGTCCCCTCTGATATTTTGACCCCGATGAATCATCTTATGCTTGTGACCTCCCTGGTCTTTAAGGATAATCGGGCGAGCCCGGAGGGTTAGAAAAAAAGCAGCCATTTTTCTCTTTTATTTTTTACGTATTCTTTAAATGATGGAAAAGGCGTGTGCAAAGTTTCAAACTGCTAGGGAACCTGGTTAATTTATTATGAATTTTTGAAAAAGTGGTCATTTAACCCGTGATCTTATGGAAATCACAAAAAAAACTGCAAAACCCAAGAAAAAAAAGCAGCCAAAGTCATGAAACTTTAGACACATTTAGAACATGTGATCAATGATTTTTTGAGTGAAAAAGATTGTCGCCTAGGAGCATTGTTTATTAATAATATAGGTAAAAAGTACTGGAAAATAAAATTTCTGCGCACGCAGCCCAAACGAGCAGCAACGTCTCAATTAGCGATCGGGTGGGGGTAGCGCGGTCAATTTAAACGTCTCTTGAGAGAGAGCGATGAAGCGTTGTGATTGGAGCTCCCTCGAGCTAGTGGTACCAGCTCCTGATTAATATTAATATTATTAATATTTTTTCATTTATTAAAAAAAAACAATCTGAAGACCATTCAATGCGTGGAACAGATACAAATAAATTTGATTAGCTCCAAACATAATTTTTAACCGGAGATACTTCCTAATATTGCCTGAATTTTGAATCCGAATGGGAAAAATTTTTTTGTTCAGCGATTGGTTTTCTACAGGAAAACAATAGAAACCCCTCCGCCTCATCTCTTACATTTCCTCCTCGCCCGATTATCCTTAAATCCGTTATGAATATTTTTTACATTTATTTTATTTTTTCATTACTGGTTCGTGAGATAATATCGATCCCAAGCCAGAAATATCGATACACCCAATATCGCGATGCGCAAATATCGATACATAATATCGAATGTCGGAACAAACAATATCGATATAAGTGAGTATCGATACAGGATCGGGAAACACTAGTGGTAGGGGTGGTAGGTTTCTCCCTCCTGCCTGAACCGTTGCAGGCACGGTGTTATCTGTCAAGCTCATGCAGAGTTGAAAGTCTGACGATACACACATTTTTTTTATCCTCATTCTCGCAACGTTATATCAACCGCCTAATCTCATATTCACTATTTACGATTGCAACTCCCATTGACATCTCAACCATCTTGCCAGTCAGTGAAGAAAGATTGTGTTAAAAACCTCAGTATTCCAAAATGTGAAATTATTCATCACTTTTTCATATATATTCCGCAAATATTTGGTGAAACAGATACTCTTTCTTGCGCAATCGAGGTCGAGACTAAATTTTTTAGTTCTTTCTCAACGACCATTTTCTCCATGACCGTCATTGTATCCCACTTGTAATGAGTGTGAATCTTTAAGCTTTGATTTTGACAACTGACCCTTCAGGATGGAGGACATTTCATAGGTGTAAACCCATTTTATCCATTTAGTGAGTACGTAGCATTGGGTTTTAATCATTCATTTTCTGGAGTTGATTATTATTTGCAACATATCCATTACAGCCTACATCGATTCCATAGAATGGTTGTTTATTGTTTTAGTGGACTTAACATTGATCGAATAATTCATTAACAATGCTGAAGTCGTGTAACACAGATTATCGATTCTCATAATTATGCAGTGAACATTCATGTTATGTAATATTTTCATGAAGTTATAAAAAAAATCGTGAAAATACTAAGAATCTCATTAGCAAAGTTTTGACTGTCAACATTAATTTTGCAGAATCATGAAACCTGACGGTTCATCGTTCTACACGGAAATGTCAATGAAGTGAAACTGATTATGAAACAGATGAATCGTTGATGAAGTTCTACTTACTTGAAGTTGATGAATTTTTTTGACATTTCGAATGCCAGAAAAAATTTGAAAAATGTTTGAATCACCGAGAAGCCTCGAGGAAGTGTGTGTAGATTTTATCTGTGACAATGTTCTTGCCCTCTGCGAAGTACAGCTTGGTGATTCTGGCGGCACTAATGTGAGCACCTCAGCTGTTGTAGATATTGGTATGTGAATGATTACGCTTTTACTTACCAGACTATAAACAGGAATTACTGTTTAGATGTGACATAACTGTTAATATGATGGTTGCAATTTTGTGAGGGGATGATTTTAGTAGGACATAGTGAGAGGTACCCACCATCTCAAAAATCCCCCATTCTCGAGAAGTTCTCTAATTACTAGATAAACCAACTCATTAATTTTCATCACTTCAGTATAGAATTTTGATTTTTTACCCTTATATTTTGTAGCAATTTTTCATGTATTAATTTTTATTGTAAAAATATTTATATTGTAAGAAGATCGATCGAATGGTTCTGCTATCGAAAACAACGTTTCTGTATCATCTGGAACATTGACAAACTCCCCCATCAACAATTCAACACATGAAACCGCAACGAGATTAAGTTTCAAAGATCCCGATGTATTTCTACCAGCTGAAATATCTGAACAACTATTGGCGAGTCTCTGTGAGAAAAAAGCTTTATCTGATCTGACCATCACTCTGTTCGATTCAAAAACAACGAGATTGAGGTAGTTGTATACAACTTTGCGTTATTAAAAAGAGACAAAAATAATTGAATACTCAATTTGTAGATATGTGAGACTGAAAGACGCATCCAACCTCTCTACTAAAGGATTGAAAGTGTTGAAACAACACAAGGTCGTGGATCTGGAAGTAAAGGGACTGAAGATCACTATAAATGACTTGATAAGTTGTCTTGGTGAATGGAGTTTACAAAATCTTCGGTCGTTGAGTGTTGCCAAGGGAAGCTTCATAGATTGTTCTAGGTAAAATATCTTATATTTTTATCCATCCTAGCCAACAATACGTGAGTGAATTAGCCGAAATTTTTTGGTGAATTCATGTCACAAGTTTTTACATAGTGCCGCAAATATTGTTTGCTGTGATATATTGCACTAATATTAGTGGTGAAGGGTCCAATGAAAAAATCAATTAGTGACCGGGGACCTTTCGCTCGCCTGCACTGACAGTGCCATTATTAGAGTTGGATGGGAGTGAATGGTAGTTTGAGACCCATTAACCAAACTAATAACTTCCCGACCAGTTCTTTTTGCTTTATTTCTTCAATAGAAATGGAAAATTTTAAAAGTTTTATCTAGACAACTGAATTGAATCGCTAAGAGGATTTTATTCAATCTTCGATCTGACTCAAGTTGGATGGAGACGTGTTGATTACCTGTAGAAATTGAATCATTCCATTTTTTTATTCTCGACAACTTAGAGGAGGAGTATATGCGTTTGGCTGCACCTGCATTAGTTTTGTCATTGCAACTACGTGAAACATAATTTCAAAAAGTAAATCTTCCCTTTCCGGAAGAAAAAACAAGGAGTGCAACTACTCGCATGTGAGAAATTGTAAACGAAAAAAAATGCAAATAAAAGAGAAAAACGTTAAGAATCAGAAATGAAAATTTGAAAGGAAAGTACTTATCATTCTTCAAATTAATCCCACCACTCGATTAATATTTTTTCCTTCATTTCTCCTCAGCTATAACGGTCAATAATACATTTTAAAATATTTCTGGTGGGTTGGGCATGTAGGAGTTGAGACGGAGGGAAATCTATTGTTCTCTCGCAGAAAACTAATCGCTGAACAAAACAAAAAATCATATTTTAATTACAAATTTTCAATCTATTTCGACTATTTTTGTGTTCAAAATATTTTTATGTCACACGGCGATAAAAGTATTATCTGACGAATCCTTTATAATCCGAGCCGAAGGCGAGGGTTATAATCACATTCGTTAGATAATACTTTTATCGCCTTATGACATGATCTACTATTTTAAAACCTACACTTTTTCCCACATTTCAATCTTTCTTTTATTTTTCTGGCTTGTCTTTTGGATAATCCTTACTAAAAAAACCATGGGCAATATCTCGAATCGAAAATGAAAACTCGAACATGGCGAAAATAGCTTTACGGGGAAATTACGGCTGTTTTTCATGAGCTCGATCACCTCAAGTACTAAAGCCGCTGTCGCGTCGGGAAGTTTCATGTGAGAAAGTGCGCGCGAATTATAAAGCGGATTTCTAACCTCAAATAAGAAACGCGGTGATGCATTGAATACATCAATGCATATTTTCTACACACGAATTTGTTTATAACGAGTTGAATGTGACATTATTTGTTCGTGATAAGTGTTAAGAAGTGGCAGGGTAGTTGACGTGATGAATAATTAGATAAACTTGAATGGGTGGAATCAAAAAATTAATCTCATGTTTTTCCAAATCATATAGGCCAAGTGTGTAACTTGCATAAACTGTTCGATTTCGATTGTTTCATCTGATTCCTGTTTATTGAGGTTTTGATTAATAAAACCACTTGCTTATACCTCAAAATCAAGAAATATAAAATTTTTTCATGAAATAAACAAAAAGCCAAAATCTTTTTTATTCCAAGATTTTCAATCATCCAATTTCTTCATTGCATTGGCTTGAGAAAGTTCGAAAAAGTTTCGAAAACGAAAGTTTGAACGATATTGCGCAAATAGCAGTTTTTTCAACATTTCCTATCCCTGGCGATTGAACAGCCGGGTTATTACATGGCTGTTCCCTGGCTAATTTTTTATCATTCCAAAAACAATAATTAAGCTTTGCGGGCCATAAATTGATGATGGTTAGAATTTAATAATATTTTTCCATGATATAAATTATGTAAATATAATTGACAATACGTTTTTAGGATGTAATGAAATAATGTAAATATTCGATGGAGCATTCCAAAGAGGATTGACTAAAGTAGAGGCTCAGATCTCGGGGTTCAAGTGACCCCAAGCCAAAAATAGTACGACCCCAACGGAGGGATGGCGCCACGGTCGAATCTGATGGCTGGGCGAGCTGCTTGTGCCGGTAACTCGGCAGTAGCAGTCCCACTGTGGCGCTGTCACAGAAATAGTTTCGGAGGGGAATTTATGCCCTCCTCGTCCTCAACATGTTCTTAATGTTTTTCAGGTGATTCATTTGCTGGCTAATTAATATTAAGGAATGAAACACAGCCGGTGTGATGGAGAATTAAATTCCCCATCAATCGATCCCCGTTGCATCCCTTAATCTCTGTAACAAAAAAATACAAACTACGACAAAAGTCATGGGCCAGTGAGCAAAATAATTTTCTTCTCGGCGCACAGTGACTTTTCACCATTCGCCCGCGAATTAGAAATTTGTCTCTCCCCTCCTAATTGAAATTAAGGGATGAAAAAAAGGCTGTTTGACGGAGAACTAAATTAAATTCCCCATCAATTAACCCTCTTTCATTCTTTAATCTCTGTAACAAAAAAATTTAAACTGCCATGAAATTCAGGGGCCAGTGAGAAAAATAATTTTTTCGCGGCGCACACTGACTTTTCACCATTCACCCGCGAATTAAAAATTCACTTCTCCCCTCCTAATTGAGATTGAGGGATGAACAAACGGCAGTTCGACGGAGAATTAAATTCTCCATTAATTAACCCTCTTTCATTCCTTAATCTCTGTAACAAAAAAATATAAAGAGGGTTAATTAATGGAGAATTTAATTCTCCGTCGAACTGCCTTTTTTTCATCGATTGAGCAGCCGGGTTATTACATGGCTGTTTCCTGGCTAATTTTTTATCACTCCAAAAACAATAATTAAGTTTTGCGGGCCATAAATTGTCGATAGTTAGAATTTAATAGTATTTTTCATGATATAAATTATGTAAATATAATTGAGAATACGTTTTTAGGATGTAATNCTTGAAAGCCAAGAATGGAATGAAACAAGTGGGAAATTACGTTTATCGTCATATAGTATTGTTATTTTTGCTTATTATTATATTTATCACACATGCAGTCACTCAAAAATATGTTTTGGGTGTTTGGGAAATTGCTTTTTTCTCCATAATATAGTATGGTTATTTTTGCTAATAAATTAGCAATACACTTCCGAATGGTCATTTTGCATATTATTTTCTTCTGTCGTATATAATTCATCGTTTGATAATCCTCTTTTTTTTTCTATTCATAAAAGACACGAAGGGTAAAACTCGAATTGAAAAAAGTCGAACGCCGAAAGTCGAACTCAAAATAGCTCGAATGAGGACGAACTTCGGCGGGGACACCGACAGATGGCATTGAAAAAACGGGTAGNGCAGTCACTCAAAAATATGTTTTGGGTGTTTGGGAAATTGCTTTTTTCTCCATAATATAGTATGGTTATTTTTGCTAATAAATTAGCAATACACTTCCGAATGGTCATTTTGCATATTATTTTCTTCTGTCGTATATAATTCATCGTTTGATAATCCTCTTTTTTTTTTCTATTCATAAAAGACACGAAGGGTAAAACTCGAATTGAAAAAAGTCGAACGCCGAAAGTCGAACTCAAAATAGCTCGAATGAGGACGAACTTCGGCGGAGACACCGACAGATGGCATTGAAAAAAACGGGTACTATAAAGGGGAATCTTCATAAATAATTTCGCGAAAATGGGCGCGACTTTTGAAGAGCATTTCTAGCCTGAAATAAGAAACGAGCAAATAATTCGTAAAAATATTTTTTAGTTCTCATTCTCAGTCAATGTACACATTAATGTATTGGCTATGAAAGGAAATTTTGTAAATTCACCGAAAAAAGGTATCATAAACAAAGTTGGAGAATCGCAAATTAAAAATAGTATGAAAATATCGAATGAAAATTTTGAAAAAAATAGAAAAATTTATTGGCTTTCTCATACTCCAATTTGACAAAATTTTCGAATTTCTGTAAAAGAATAGAGAAAAGTAGTAAGTTCTGAAAGAAATTTCCTTCTCCCGGAATTGTGAAAAATTATCGATGGTGAGAGAGTACTTCAAGTTGATGTTAGGACATCAGAATCCTTATCTTATTTTTGGAAAAAATTCACGAGAATTAAAAAAGGATTTCTAACCTCAAATAAGGAATACATGAAATACATACAATCAGTGCATATTTTTTACACACGGAATTGTTTGTTATGACTGGAATAGAAAATCAGGGCATAGATTTTGCACACGTTTTTGTTTATGATAAATGGAATGGGAAATCAGTGCATATTTTCCACACAGATATATTTATGTTGAATGAAATGGAAAATTATTCGTTAGTGATGAGTGTTAAAAATTGACAAGATGGTTGAAATAGTTCATAATTAAATAAACTTGAATGTCAATCGTGGAATAAAAGAAATGAATCTTATATTCTTCCAAATCATTCAGACCTAATTCTAAGTTGTAACTATTAAAATATTCATGTTCCATTTTTTCATTCAATTTTAGTTCAAGGGTTTCTTAGATGAAATCAATATTTTCATCACGCTGTGCAAAAAGGTAACATTTTAGGCACGCATCGCGCATTGTTCCGATAGTTGAAATTTCAAGATTATCAAATAGAAATGAGTCTTGCAAAATCAAAGAGTAATGAATTTTCTACATGATNAGTTCAAGGGTTTGTTAAATAAAATCAATATTTATTTTACAAAATCAAAGAGTAATGAATTTTCTACATGGCATAAAGAAGTCTAAATTTTTTTTATTTGAAGAATTTCTATCATCTAACTCCTTCATTGAATTGGCCAGTAAAAGTTCGCAAATAAAGGCATTCCGCGAATAATTGCCTTTTTCAACATTCCCTTTGCAGGAATGAATATGGAAATACTCTAAAATTCTAAACACATCATTTTTTTTGCATTAAATTGATTTTTGTTGAAATTTTCGGGATTTAGGAAAAAAATCATTTCTAGAGTGAAAAATTAAGTATTATTGAACAAGGTAATTAAACTGTTGAAGAA